ATTAATTAATCGTCGCTGTGCGTTCCTTTGTTTATTTGTTTCGTCTTTCTTGCTGCTTAAAAATGTTCAAGTCTTATGGTGATGATGCCAAATTAATGTTTAAAATTTCCTTTTATGATTAATTTGATAATTTGATTTTTATTCTAAATTACCACTTTGGGTTTCTAATTCCCATGACCCATCACCCCGCATGATCCGAACTTCGCTGTTCATGAGTCAACCTTTTAGCCTTTTTAGACGGTTTTCCGCTGCCTGTATGCTTCCTCGTAATTCCTATTGGTAATTGGCCATCTCTTATTCCTATTAATTGATATAACAAAACATTTATAAATAATAAATAAATCATCAATAAATATAACAATATTTATGCCACATTGTACATTTTACAGGGATGAATAATATGACTTATTTAGTTTCTAAAGCATGGAATTATTAAAAGAAAAAAAGAAAAAAAAGACAATCCTTTTCTTTTAGGCATGAAAAGGAACTATTTGAGTCAAGGGGAAAGAAAAAGTCATAATACAGAGGCCCCACTCCGTGGACGTTGAGTTGATTGACAATGAGGGTTTGGCAAGTTCGATGAGGAGGCGGATTGACCCCTGCGTTGGGGAGTAGGTACAAAGAAACTTCTAGGTGAAGATTTGTTCATGCCTTTAATTTAAAATTGATAAAAATTGACGCAGGCAATCTGTCGAGTGCGGTTCCTATCCTTGTATGATCCAGCACCTTTTAAGATGATATACGAGCTTGTTTGTTGTTGAAAGGGAAAGGCACTGTTGAAGAAGATGTGTACAAATACATAAAATGTTGGCAAAAATAATAATGATAAACACACAAAAAATTAAAAACCCGGCCTTTGCTGCATGGCATTAATGATGTTACTCTGTTATTTAAACAATCAGCATTGGCCTTGAGCCTTTAGCTGCTGGATTTAATGTGAGGATTCTTTTACTGTTATTACTTTCCCACTAAATTTCTTCAATATCATTTTTATAAATATAATAATAATAACAAAACTTCTAATAAGTATTCCTCCTCTTCTTAAATATAAAACTTAATTGTTGAGTTGAATTCAGTTCTAACGGTTAGGCCTATTTTTATGTTTATTTTTTTTCCTTTAAATTACCTTATACATATTTCCTCAACTATAATCAAGTTAGAGAGGAGAAAAAATATTAAGAAAGATGATTATAGTGTTTGTTTGTAGTTTAGAAATGAATCTTTATAATTAAAAAAAGATAATATTTTTATAACTGATTAATTTTTAAGCTAATTAAGTTAATTAAATAGACACTATATTAAGCATGAAAAAGCAGTAGCATCAATTAAATATAAGCAGGGTGGGGACCCCACTGGTGGCTTGGATAAAACTAAATGTTAATGATGCTGTATCTTCTAATCGAGCAGGTTGCGGGCGAGTTATAATGAATGGCCGTGGTGCTCGGATAACTGGCTTCACTCTTTTTTTTGGGAAATTGCACAGTTTTTAAAGCAGAGGGATGGGTAATCTTTAAAGGGCTAATGCTTGCGTGGGACCTTGGTTTTGGGAATGTCATGCTGGAATCTGACGCCAGGGATCTGGTGGATGTGATCAACACTGTACCCATTGATGACACGGGAAGTTTGATGAGGACACAAATCCGAGGCAATCTGGAGTATTCTTGAGGTTGAAAATCACACATACGTCAAGGCTACAAAATGGAGTTGCCGATGCTTTAGCAAAGGAAAGTTTGTCTGGAAGTACTATCATGGATGCTTGATGAGAGCCTGTGATTGTCCCCACTGGGTTTTCTATTTGTGTGTGGGCTACAAGCCCTTTTTTGTATCAAAAGAGAAAAGAGAAAAAAATAAAATAACAGGCGTATGGAGATGTTTAGCCAAGAGCCGAAGGTAATCATATCGTTCATTGGATGTCGACTTCACTAGCGACAAGGCTTCCCCATGCTTTGACGGATCTGTAAGTGGGATTAGCATATCTAATATTTGTTAAGAGGATATTTGGATAAAAATAAAACTATAGTTTTAAAAATATTTTTATAATATACGAAATAAATATGTAGAGAAATTTATCTCAAATTATAAAAAGTGATTTTGAAAAGTACTTTTTTATTTGGCATTACATAAAAATATTTCTGAAAAATATTTTTTTACAAATCGAGACAAACTCATTCACGTATTTACTTTATATACCGTAAAACTATTTTTGAAATCATTGTTTGGTTTTTATTCAAGCACCCTTTTAAATCAACTTGAACATCATTTTTAGTATACTTAAATAATCTGATGAAAGTGTAAAAATGAAAAATTAAAGAATGCCTTAATCAGAGTCCATAATTTTATCTGAGAAGCTTAAATATATTTTATTATTTTTTTATACGTTTGGAAAAACAATTTTTGGCCTTTAACGTGAAAGAACACGGTGCCTTGAAATACATGGTCGGGAGAGCAATAATAAAAGCCAGGGATTATATGGGCAAGCGTCCCCATTGCCTTCAACATAGGCTGGTCCTGCACTCCCGTTTAAGAAAAACTTACCGAAGAGCACTTGCCAGAAATGTTTGGAAAAGGCCATGTAGTTTGTAAGCTATCAATATATAGTGTGTCTGTTATGTGAATTTTGAGAACCAGATTTGTTTTCATCCCCTTTTTTTCTTCTCATGACTTATTTTCCTATATTTTTTTTTTCTTTTTGCCTTGTATGAGTATCCTTCTTTTGTAGCCAATTTTGTCTGAAATACTATCGGATACTTCTCTCAATGAAAATTTAAACTTCGGTTTACTATGTTTTGAGGTTTTAACCCCTTCCTCCTATTGATAATTTGTTATACTACTTATTGTTGCATGGATTTCTGACAAATTATATGAGCTGGTGGCAAAAGCAGCCCAGGCCCTATATCAACTTTGCCGTACACTTTTTTGGGATACATATCACCACGCAGATATGGAGAGCGCTATGGCCATAGTTTCTCATGGGCCTTTAATAACTGATGAAACCCTGATCCACAAGAATGGTAAGATTTGCAAGTTGCCACTTTTTTCTTTTTTCTTTTCTCCTTCTTTATGATTTGTACCGTTCCGTGTAGTTTTTGGGGCATGAAAAATAAACAGCGCAATTAATTAATGAGTTATGAAATGATAACTTGTTAAACGATTTATATGGCGTATATATTTTCGACAAGTCGCTATAATGATTGTTTTTCCTAACTAACCATCTGCCTATAGAAAAAAAAGCGAAGATGCTGCAAGTCTTCCATACAGCTATTGCTTGTTTAGAGGGATGGAAATATCACTGAAATCTCATATATCAAATACTTATCTATATACTGAATAAGTAGGATTTTTTCAACGAATACTGCTAGGTTGAGAAAGTTTAGTCAAAAGAAAAGGTAAAATATTTATATTTTTATTGCATTTCTTTTATAACTTAACTCAGCCCCCCTTCCAAATATCAAAATTTTGAATTTTGTAGCTAAATACTTCTTTTTTTTTGTAATCAGAAGAGTAGTTAAAATATTCAAAAAGAATACTAATTAAAGATGAAGACATAAATAATGTGAAGACACTTCTCATGGTGAGTGAGTACGCAATAAAAAATTAAAAATTGCTACCATTTTTGTTCTGCGTCGCCGTCTACGCAGTAAAATTATATATGCTCTCAAAATGAACAAATAATGTAATTCGTTATTCACTGGGCAATCCATTCAGCAAACCTTTATGACACAGGCACGAGGCATCAACGTCAACACATATATAAATTATTCTTCAAATTTCCTCGCATCACATCACGTAGCCGACCCAAGTGTAGGATTTCACTCTCATTGGGTAATTAAATAGGCTTAATATCCCCAACAGACACGTGCACAAAATAAGAGGGCAAGTCTGCGTTTATTTATTTATTTTGGTCACGACAAAGCTAGTGTTTGGAATAGGTGTGGCATTATAGAGTATTCCCCCACACAACTTCGTTAGTGCGTGCTCGCTGCAAGGAAGCATAACGGCCTTCTGTCCCCCTCTCAAACACCAACATATATTCCTCCCATCTTATTATAAAATATTCCCCAAAGAAATTCTTAAATCTTATTAATTTTATTTAAAAATTTAATTAATTTTTAAATAACTATAATAGTTATTTAAAGGAAAAATTACCGATAAATTTCTCCTTAAAAATTTAATTGACAAATAGAATTTAAGGACTTTGTGCGACTTAGCTACCACTCTGTTTCTTATTATAAGTCACTTATGTTTCAAACCCGTAACGTAAATCAAGAAATACATTAAATTAACCATTTCTTTTTTCATATTTACTCTTATTAAAAGTTGAGAGAGAGATGGACAGAGAGATTAATTAATTTTTTATTAAATTAATGGGAATAAAATTGAAAAAATATCATTAATTATACTACAAGTAACTTATATTTTCAAATAAACTTTTAGGATACAAGTGACCTATAATAAGGAATAAAGTGATACTTTTATGTGCAATTTATCTTCTTGTGTGTGTAATAATTTTTTTTTTTTTGTGATGCGTAACTCAATTTCTTTTTATATAAATAAAATTGTCTTATGTGCAAGTCATCTTCTCTATGTGCAAACTAATACCTTATATTCAAATAATTTTATGCAAACCATCTTCACTTTGTGCAACTAATCTTCGTTTGTGTAATTAATCATCCTATGGATTATTTACCAATTAAATTTGTAATGAGGATTTATTCCCATTTTTCCCTTATTCAAAAGCACGCATATGGATGGGAGGTGGAGTCCGCGTAAGAAAGACACAAGTCTAAATAACCATTATAGTTATTTCGCCACTCATTGTGCCACCCACTATTTTGAAACCCTTGACGTTTCCTTCATCTCACTTTTGTTCCTTACACCATCATTTCCTTCAACACTAAACACATTATTGTTCTTATATATCTCCTTTATCATCATGTAATATTATAACATCCCCTTCTCAATTCGCTCATCAGAGCTTCAGAGCCTACATATATGTTGTGTTACTGATGAACTTGTTTATTTAATGCAACTTCATCAGCTTGGTACTCGGCGATCCAGCCCTTTATTATCTTGATCTCAGTCTTTCTCTGCTTCACCAGCCATTCTGGATCACTTGGTTGCTCTTCAAGTATGTCCAGGCAATGAGATCCTGCCATTTTTTTCTCTCAATGAATATCATTTCGTGCATGTTACAAAAAGCATTAAATGTGTATATATATTGGTCGTAAGGGTGAAGGAATACCGTTGACTGTGGACACGGCGAGGATACTATCTGATATATCTTCCAACACCCTGCGAGTCATTCCAAAAAAAAAATAAAATCAAAGGTCACTAATTGAAGCAAACTGATATCAATCACAAAGAAGATCAATCGGCGGAAGAAAATTATTGTTTTTTTTATCACTAGCTGTACCCTCCAGAACTGTACGGATCTCTCAGTCCATTGGAGAAGATAATGTTGCTGGCAAATCTATGGAGGATCAGTTTCAAATCCTAGAGATTCGACGACGACGAAGACGACATATGAGAAAAGCATGGAGTAATTAAATGAAAACGACCAAAAAAGAAGACATTAATTAATTTAAACGAAACGTGATTATTAAAAAAATATGAACGTGCGTACAGGACCCCCATAATAAGTTGTCACCCAATGAGGTCGTGGAAGAACGCCATACAAGCTTCTGCATTCATTCACAAAGCTCTTCATATCGAAAGGTGCTGGTGGGAACATTGTATCGTCCCTATCATGACCGATTGGCATCACCATCTCGCTACAACTCTGTTCATAATTTCGTTAATTAATTCGCTCAAAAGACTCTAAGCATATGTATATACAGAGTATTATATATGGGGCTTTATCATGTTTCTTATTAATTGGAATCTTAACCTGCCATCTCCATCCTATGTCAGTTTCGGTGGGAAGATTGAATTCGTTTGTGTCATAGCAGGACTTGTTTCCGTGATGAGCCACAACTACTCCTTCAAATATTTGGCCAAGAGTATCTGTTTTCTTTGCTGCTGCGTCAATGGCTTCACAGATCACACTGACTGGGTAATCCGGAGGTTCATTATACTGAGCTGCATCAGCGTATATTGAATCCAAGTAATCCTTCAGTTCAAAACTGTTGTCCAGTTTGCTGAAATAACACGAGGGAAAAAAACATTTTTTAGTGAGAGAGAGTGAGAAATCAAAACATCTGTAATCTACGGTGGAGAAGAAAACTTACGAACCTGCAAGTTTTAAATGTCTTGCTGAGAATTGAAAGACCGTTAGGCATCTTAGAAACTTTGTCAATCTCAGACCATGATTTACGTATAGTTTGGTAGCAGCTCTCACTAGCTTCCTGCAATACCGCTCAGAATATTAATACATCATTATTTTTTTTAATCTTGTATTTGTTAATAAAATAATGACGCAAATTACTTTAAAATCCTTGGTGACGATGTAATAGTATCCGGCTTGTGGGGCGACGCTATTGAAGTAAAGAATTGGCGCTGATGAGGCCAGAGCACCGAGTGCAATGTGGGGATACTTTAGCCTGAACCACGAGGCAAGCACTGCATATAAGAACCAGAAAATTAACCAGATGAAGTCAGTTCCTCATATGTGTGTGTGTGTGTGTGTGTGTGTGTGTAATTGAACGATAGTTGAAGAAAAATAATAAGTTGTGTGTGGCCGCCTACTTCCACCATAGGATCCTCCGATAACGATGATGGGAGAAGTGTGGGCAGACAAACGTTCCTTTACGTGTAAAAGCACAGCAGCATAGTCTGCTATAGCTTGGGCTGAGTTGAAATAGCCTCGAGTATTTGCATTCTTCATCGCTTTTTTCAGGGACCCAAACGGTATGGATTTCCCGTAGTATCTATGCTGCTCAGAAGCCATATATATATATATATTATATGTAATTAAACAACACAAATTAATTGAACTTATCCCAAGTTATATGATCTGAGTTGGTCTGATCACATACCTCAATATAAACAATAAGAGAACTGAATTGAGGGGCGTTTTCTCTGAGAAATCCAACGACATTAATATCCTCGTCCACAGGCTCTTCGGCGCCAAGGTATGCAAAAATGGGTGCGCTTGATTTAGGTCCAGCCCAGTACTTGGAATTTATCATATACCTTTGTTGAAAAGTGGCGTAGCTGTCAGGTCTGTAGTTGAAGTGATCCAGTCTTTGGGTGTAGTAGAATGTCTCGACCTCCTCAACCGAATTCGAGGAAGACGAGGTTTGTGGTTTTTTACGTTGTTTACCGATTTTCCTTGCAATTCCTAACCTCGGATTAATGCTGAGAGCATCAACACAAAGGAAGAAGATTAGGAAGAACCAGGAAAACCGTTGGAACGAGCACATAAGGTTAGCCATGGCCCAATCTTGGGCGTTTCAACTAAGGTTGAAGGTAGCCTAGCGAAGCGCATGCTTATATACATGCAAAAAGAGGGAGTCAGAACTAATAAGACCTAGGTCTAATAGAAGAAACTAGTCTCTCATAATGTGACGAACCAAGATTCAAATCCCGCTTGGGAGATATGTCTAAATTTAGTACCCGACAGTGTTTCGAATAAGATTGCTTCTGATAGGAGGATACTTATGTTTTAATCAAAAAAAAGAAAGAAAGAGGGAGTCACAAAGAGAAAGAAGGAAGAGATTGACAAATTAGGCTTTGAACCCTAGGTTTATAAAAAATAAATAAAATATAAAATTATTCTAAAAAGATAATGACACAGAAATCTAACTAATTAATCTAAAATTTGATAAGATATTTTAAGTATTATAATTCAATTAAAATATCCTAATATATTAGACAAAAATCATAATAAAATAATAGTCATAAATATCCAAAATAACTCTAATCAGCTCTAGTTTCATATTAATTCAGTCAAGTCATTGCTTAACTAATTAATTAATTAAAAATGAGGAAAAGGATTATGCTAAGAAGGTGCTATTCCACTTTAACATAAAATAGTTGTGTATAGGATATAGCTATGTAGCTACCTACAAGATCCACTATCGCCAATCCCCATGGTTTTTGGTTTTAATTAGAGTAATCATCTTTTTATAAAAAATAATCATTTTTTAAAAAGTCATGAAGGTGCATTGCAGTTTCAGAAAGCAAAGAAATGAAAGATGGGATGATGCAGCAGTCATGAATTTGATTACAACAAATTTAAATTATAGTTGTGATTAGTTGATCTTTTTTTTTTTTTGTGATCAAGTTGTGATCGGTTCTTTAATCACATAAGGATATCAATAAAATCGGAGCGAGTGCTTTGGATACACGTCGTCATTTTTCATGAATAATCTCTGTAGCCCATTAAATTAAATCGAGGCCGAGCGTGTGGCAAAATAAAATACCACAGGTACTGATTTTGTTAAAGGCATCAATGCCAATACATACATATTTTTAGTATAAAGTTTGTATACTATAATTCAATATTTTATTACAAATTAACAATTATAGCTTTTAAATTATTGGAAAAAGGCTTAAGTTGGTCCAAATTGATAATGACGTATTTTTATCCCGTGAAGACGTATGCTCAAGTCTTAATGTTGATTGACCTTGATGAATCTCAATTCAATTGATCTATCTTTTTTCAAAAATAAATAAAAAGAAAAAGAAAAATGGCTTTATATATTACATATCAATGAAATTCTTCTGAAAAATTGATACCCAACAAGTTCTGTTGAAAATTATTGTCATCTCACGTAATGCTGTAAAAAAAAATAAGGAAAATAAATAATGCATTTTTTTTCCTAATTAACCTCTTTTTTCCTTTTGCATTATATTACTATCATCGAAGACCCGAAGCTAATTCTTTCGAGCCTAATTGAATACTGGTTATGTTCACTTGAAGATTTTTCAATGGTTTTTATTATCATCAAATTTTGTGCGAAAACAGGGTTAAAAAAACGGATATCATTATTCTATAACTAAACGTTTTAATGATTTTCGTCCACATATAATCTAATTATAGAAAAATGATTAAAAAACTATTTAAAAAGACTTTTAATCTATTTAGAGATGTTTGGAAAACCGTAAAAATATTTTTTTTAAATATTTTTCGTAAATCAAAATAAATTTCTTCACATATTTATTTTATACATCTTAAAATTATTCTTAAAACTATAATTCCGTTTTTACCCAAACACCTCTCGTTCTTCTGGTGATTTTGGTCTGGAAATTTGATGGATGAAGCCAAAACATTGTTACGACTTACGAGGCAGAAGTTGGAGATGGATAACTACAAAACCGATGCGATCCAGAAACCACGTGGGGATGGTATTTTTAATTTTATTATTAAAATAAAGGACCTCATTTTACGGATTAAAAGTAAGCGAGCTTTATAATTAGTCAACTAATGGATTCAGCAGGAACATGCTGATAATATAATGCGTTTGGAATAATTGATGGTGGTTGAATCTAATCTCAGGTGTGAACAGACAACAGAAAGAAGCCTACGGGTAAACAGATAATTAGAGGTTAATTAAGTACTACAAGTTGTGGGGGGGGGGGTTATGATTATGAATTAATCAAAGTGGCCACTTATAAATGTATATGCTGTGAAAAGTTCATCAGCCTCTATATTCCTATTTAAAAATGAATCAGTCACATTGGATTAGGCTATGCAGCTGACTTTAATTTTCCCATTAAATTGCAAACTGTTCTTTATGGTAATGATGAACCCCTTAAACTTAAAACCAGCAAGAATAATACAGATACAAGTTAACAGGGAACAAAGTGAAAGCAGCTTTTTAAATTTGGAGAGGGAACAGCGCACAGGATGCTTTGTGTGAATCACATGGGAGCATGGCCCCGCTGGTGCCATTAAAGAAAGCCATTGTCAAGTGGGAACGCTCTCGGCATAATCGAACCACCCCAAGTGGGAACGCTTTTTGATCCCACAGTCTCATCCATCTTTCATCCGTTGACTCACTATCATATACTCTTCACATTTTGATTCCGAGTGCGTTCTGTGGTCATATTTAGAGGCATTCTCGTTACCTACCAATAAATTTTAAAACTGCTGTGATTTGAGAGTCTTTGGTTGAAAATTTTTAAAAGTAATTCTAACTAAGTATGTGAAAAGAATTTTATCTTGATTTATATAAAAATACTTTTTAAAAAAGTGTTTTTTTATTAAGATCCAAACACTCCGACATGACTCATTCTTCAAATAGAGCGAAATTTCACTCGTGTTTCCTAGAATAAGTGCCATCTTATCAGAATATTGCTGATAATGATCAAACATATCATTGATAAAACAAAAATTAAATACAAGGCAAATTTAAAGGGGGATAACACTGCCAAGCGCCAACCACTATAGTAAATTTGAATATTTCACATTTCAACTCATAATCTTATGTTTAAAACGAAGTCTATGGCCAGGTCAAAAAAGAAGAAGAAGAAGGAAGTCTATGGCGTCATTTGGGCTACAACATCCTGCCTTTCAATGATACCAAATTGAATAGGCCTGTTAATTAAGTCTCTGGATATCAATTTTCGCAACAACAAAAAAACCAAAACAACACATGAACATCATCGGTTTCTCTACTGTACCATGCTGCCTTCATCAGTTTCTGCAGCATCTATAAATGTCGCTCATCACATTCCTTCGTCCGAACTTGATCCAAAATCACATGTTGTTGAGACAATCTTGAAGAATCGTTCACTAAAATGTGACCCATTAACCAACTAAACCAAGTAAATAAGAAAAAACCCCAGAAATTTAACCCAAAAAAAGACCTGAAAATTTAAGTAAATAATCATTTAAAAAAAATCTTTCATGCAAGCCAATACAAAACTGTTCTCGGATATTTATCTTGAACCCTGTCAAATCATTCATCCCAGTATCTCCATACGCACATATAAATAAAAACATTTAGTTCAATTTTAATATAAAACTACTTTTTCTTTCTTTCTTTTTTAAATAAAATTATTTGGACCATGTGGATAAACTTTAATACTCTCTTACTACTTCTAATCCTTGATATAAGAGTTAGTTAACTAATTTAAGTAGATTAAAAAAACTAATTAAGTTAATTATTTGTAATAAATAGGTGTTGTCTTTTCTAAAATATCCCTGTTAATCAAGTGTATTGGTTAGAATTATCATTATTACAAGGATTACCTTGAGAAAATAATAGATAAATATAAAAGACAAAGTGGATTGGGGTCATATATTTAGGATTAAAATAAAAGTCAAACGAGTTTTTATATTAAGAATAGGAGATACTGTTAAAATACAGAAGACTATCCCCCCAATTTTGACTTCAAATTCTTTAAATTTGAAAATATCCTCTATGTAAAAGGAAGAAAAAATAGTCCCCCCCCCCCACCTTAATTTTGACTTCAAATCCTTTGAATTTGAAAATAAAGCCTCTCCGTAAAAGGAAGAAAAAATGGCTCCCCCCCCCCCCGGGGGGCAATTTTGACTTCAAATCCTTTAAATTTGGAAATAAAGCCTCTGCGTAAAAGGAAGGGAAAAAAAGAGAGGAAGTAATTGAACCATTATCACGCAGAAACATCTAAAATTAGATATAGTTATATCATTTTTTCCCCAGATAATATAAAAGCCACCTGTTTATTTTTCCCCCCTGGCATTAGAAATCAAGGATAAAGGAGCAGTACACCTCGATCCGTAAATCATGGACAATCATTGTTGATTTTACGGATAAAAAGAGCACTTTTCGTTAATAATAATAATGATACAATTTTAATGCATCGTATTCTATTGCAAATTTAGTACACTTTGAGCGCGCCAAGATCCGCGTAGTACTGTGTGATCCACCCTTTAATCATCTGAGTCTCTTCCTCTCGTTGTTTGACTAACCATTCTGGATCGCTTGGCATTGCACGCAGAATATCCAAGCAATGAGATCCTGAAAAATCAACGTTTTTCGATCAAAAGGGACCCACCCTAGTGTTTCTTTTTCTCTGTCTTTCTGTTTGAATGTTGGAAAAGAAAATGATAGAAAATAGGAGATCCTTGTATTTGATGTAATTGATTAAGAGAATACCATTGACTGTATGGACGGCAACGATACTGTCCGATATGCTGTCCAGAACCCTGAAAACAAACACAAGATTCGCACAATGTAGTTTTAATCATAGTTCTAAACATCAAGACAGTAAAGTTTTAGGATTTTAGGTTGCTAACCCTCCGCTACTATATGGATCTCTTAGCCCATTTGAGAAAATGATGTTGCTCCCAAACCTCTGAAGGACCAACTTGATATCCTGTATGCCAACAGTTAAACCAGAAACGAGGCTTTCATAGGTGTCAATACCTCACAACTGGAGGTGATGTAAGAAAAAGACATTTTAGAACGACTCTACACGAATGTTAACAAAGAGAACAACACAAAAACTTACATGGCCTCCATAGTAAGTAGTGATCCAATGAGGCCGAGGTGCGACACCATATTTCATCTTGCAATCCCTCACATAGCTCTTGAGATCGAAAGGGCTAGGTTGAAACATTGTGTCATTTCCAAGCCCTATAGGGATCACCATCTCACTGCATGTCTATAAGTAAACAGCAGTCTCGTATCATTACAAGGCTAATGTAAACATTCATGCACGTGTTTTCTTATTCATCATTCCAAATGAAAGTTTAAATGGTAAATGAAAGTGGAAATATTAGGATAGAAGTGTTAGGTGTACTATAGACCAAAATTACTCATAGCAGCGACTAACCGAGATCTTTAATTTAGTAATAATTGTCTAAACCTTGGCTATTGTGGCTTACTATTTAGCCTCAGGGGTGTACTTTCAGGAAGTTTGTCTTAATCAGTTGAAATTCAAACTTTTGTGGGAATGAACATACTTTGGAAGTTACTGCATTTCGTTAGTTATATTGTGTTATCTTATAGAATGCCATTCCCAAATTAGACAGTTAGGTATTTGGAAGCGAAAGCGTATAAAAATGTCAAGTTGTGATTACTTAGTAAGCGAAATAACCTGCCATCTCCAACCGACAGAAGTCTCAGTCACATTGATGGGGCCATTGACTTTACATGTAGCGTTACCTCTATACGCCACTACACCTGCATATATCTTGCTGAGAATATCACTTCCAAAGGTGGCTTCATCAATGCCACCACATATCACAGTAACTGGATACTTTGGTGGTTTATTATATTGAGCTGCAGTAGCATACATCGTTTCCAGGTAGTCTTTCAACTCAGAAGATGAGTTCAGAGGACTACAAAAATGTTCCAGTGCAATAATTAATCAGGAGGTGAGTTAATGGACTAAAAGCTTGAGGACAATGACGCAGTGTTTGTACCGGCAAGTGTTGAACCGCTGACTAAGGATGGAAAGGCCATCTGCCTCAGAAGCTACTCTGTCGATTTCAGGCCAGGATTTGAGGATAGTTTCATAGCAAGTTTCACTTGCTTCCTGCAAAGATACACATCAGATCGTCATTGAAGCTTCTTTTTAATGCATTTGGTGTAAAAATTCGCAAGGTGGAAACAGAATAGCATGGTATATTACTCGAAAATCTCTCGTGACAACAGAATAGTAACCATTGGATGGTGTGATGTTATCAAAATAGAGAATTGGAGCTGATGAGGCAAGCGCACCAAGAGCCACGTGAGGATATTTGAGTCTAAACCATGAAGCAAGCACTGCAGACCGAGAATTATTATTATTATTTTTTAACTCAAGCAAATGGCAGAACATTTATGTATGTGGAAAACTGTTAAGATTACTTGAGGAGCTTACTTCCACCATACGATCCCCCAATAACAATCACTGGGGACTTCTGTGCCTTCTGTGTCTTCTTTATATGTATGAGGACTGCTGCATAATCTGCAATAGCTTGAGCAGAGTTGAAATACCCTCTAGTTTTTGCATTCTTCAACGCTGCTTCGAAGGATCCAAATGGAACCGATTTCCCATAGTACCGGTGCTGATCCGAAAAGGAAGAAGGAAAAAAAAAATCAGAATATGCTAGACCTTTGAATCTGTGGATTATTAAATATCAGTTTATGTCATACCTCTATATAAACTATGAGCGCCTTAAAGGAAGGGGCGTTATCATTGAGAAATCCAATGACCTTAAGGTCATCATCTATGGGTTCTTCTGCGCCAAGGTAAGCCAATATGGGAGCACTGGAATTGGCTCCACCCCAGTACTTGAAATTGATCAGATATCTTTGTGAAAATGTTGCGTAGCTATCTGGCCTATAGTTGAAGTGATCAAGCGTCTGTTTGAAATAGAACGTTTTCAAGTCCTCTGTATCTGTATCATCTGCTGTCAGGGCTGCAGTGTCGTGTAAAGTTATGTCCCCAATAGGGCTCAACCTGGGAATTACTGAAGATTGTTGTGTTGCAGTCAAATAAGATGAAAATATGAAAGAGATGAGAAGAAGGCATTGAAATGACAATGGTTGTTCCATTGCAATTAAGGAGCAGAATGGCTCCTTGTTTTGTTTGTATGTTAGATATGAATATGAAGTTAAGAACAGCCGAACACGCGTTATATAAGGATAGCATTCGCAGAGTTGATTTTCCTTTATCATATAATTTTCAAACAAGAGGAGAGCATAATGATATTCTCTCCTCTTTGATGTTAATGCGGTTAGTCTTCTCAGTAATGTATTTGCTGTGAATTTTCGCAAGATGGGAAGTCCCTAGCTTCTAGAAAATAATTAGTGGATATTAATATTTTAATATTTTAATTTGACGTGTCTTCTGTTTTTTTGGTTATTTTGTTGAGATTCGCAGTTTTTGTTTTGTTACAGGATCTTCGGTTTTAATCATTCATTTCTCTTTTTTTTGGGGAATAATAATCAATTTTATCTAATTAGTTGTTAGGATTATTTCAATTTTTATCATTATATCCTATTTTAGTGCATCAAAAGAGTGATCAAATTTGTCCTTCCACTCACAAAACGACTTCTATACCATCCGGTTAAGTAAAACACATAAACCCAATTATTTATATAATTACATAGAAACATATTTTACAATTATATATTATAATTGTGTAGAAATATTACAATTATAAATACCCACAAAAGTCATTTTGCAAGTCAAGTAGGTTGATTTGATCATTTAAAACACCAAATTAAAGAACGAAAAGTAGGTAAAAAAGATATTAAGTAAATTATGATAAATATAATTATATTACGATTTTTTAAGAAAATTGATCCGAACCGTATCAAATTAATGAGTTAAATAAGCTGACGTGATGAACTAATTCCATTTTGGAAGTTCTGTAAAAACCGTAGAAGATAACTTTGAGGTGTAAAACAGAGTATAAAACCTGCCCAATTTTTTCCCTGAGACAAAATAGGTGGCAGTCGGAAAAGATGGCCCATAACAAATCAAAATCAATTGTGGAAGCTAATTGATCAATGAAATAGTGGAGAACGATTTTTGAGCCGTCTATTTTATATTTGGCCGTTAACATGTCATTTTTGTCTGAGAAAAACGAGACGTCGGGGACAAAACGAAAGCAAACAAGCTACATAGTATCTTCCGAAGATTAATGTTCTTCTAATTAGTTGCATGGGTAGTGAGCAAGGAAAAAACATTAGACCTAATTTACTAATTCGACATGTTTTTTCTAAAATACTTTAAACATATTTTTTTAATTTCTTTTCTCTTTCCCCAACTTGATTATTATTGGAGAATATTAATATGATTAATTTAGAAAAAAATTGATAAATATATAGGTCTTACATATCAATTCTCAAATTAAATGTCATATTAAAAACAGGAGGAGTATTATATCAAGGTTAGTTAATGACACTTTGAAAATCATGGTGAAAATACGTGGTCAAGGTGCGTACGTGTACGTGTTTCTTGAGAGAGCATGTGCCACTCATTTGTAATGACTGGAAATATGGATCAGGAAATGATTGAGGCAAACTTTGAAGGTGGATGCATAGGTGTTCCCCAAGAAAGGTCGCATGCCAAAAAAGTTGGGATGCTATCAATCTATGGATTCAAAGTGAAGCAAAAGGAAGTATGTGAGATTCTCATTGAAAAAACGAGTACATTTAAACAAGATGTTATTTTAGCTTCTTAATTTATAAAATGTATTTTTGTCCTTGACAATATAAACAAAAAAAATGCTAACATTAAAATTTCAAATATTAACAAAATATTCTTATATACTAACATATTAAATTTAATTTTCAAAAATAATAATGATTGAAGCACAAAATCATCATTCGATACTAAAAATGTTAAATTATAAAAGTGAAAAGATACATCATAAAATTAAGGGATCAACTTATCATAAAAGGCAGATAATTGAGAGACCAATCAAATCTGCTGGGATGTCTGTTCATTGGTGACGGGTTGGGCTAACATAAAGTAGGTCACGTGTAAATTCTCATCGTTATTTATTATTGTGACAATTAATATGTTTGCTATATTTAGATTTGTCAAGAACAAGGAACAAGAAAAGCATAATGGTCCAATGAACAGGAGTGCCTTTAAAATTAATTAAAGCTGAGTGAGGAGTCAGTTTTGTGATGGTGAGATGAGGCACGATGGACACAAATCATTCTGCTGCCCATACTGGCATTCACTATCCTCCTGTTGAGGTTTCAAACCACAGCCATACCATTCTAACTACCCTCCTTCGATTCTTTTCAATAATTTCATGGAAAACGATGTACACCATACATGCGGTGGAATCTGCCAAAATCGCTGCCATGTAATAAAGACATATGTTAACATTTATGTTGTATCTGTACATAAAATATTTTAGTATATTATAATAACAAAAATTAATCTTTATGGTACAATTAATACCTGTTTATTTCTTTTCTCTTTTAAAATTCTCCCCCTTATCTCTCACCATACCCAGGATATCTTACAAAAAATTAAAAAGGAATTATTAATCTTCAAAAAGATATTATTGTCATCAGCTTAACCCCCAGCACACCACATAAAAGAGGCTTTTAAAATCAATGGCAATTTTTATTCAACTTTCAATTACAAATCGTATCTGGTGGTAGAAAATTAAGAACAAAAGGCAGATATTACTAATATAGCTTCATCCCCCTATGCGTGGGCCCTGCTGCTTTTAACCTGTAATAAAACGAGAGAACAACTCGCACGTTGGAAGACAGATCAAGGCATCAAGCCAACCAATGTTAAGGCATACCAGAAACACGCCGGCTTTTCAGCTTACAAGAAAAATTTTTGAAGTATAAAATTAAAAAAGAATATGTATGACCTATATTGATGATATATTGGGAACAAAATTGAAACAAGGGGGGGAGAAACCACACGTGCACAATCTCACTAAAATGTAACCACGCATGCACAAGCGCTGAGCAAAGACACGGAGGATACACAAAACTCAACTGGTAGCAGTAGTACACAATATACAACGCATACGAGGGCCACCTGACTTGGTTTTTTCTTCTTCTTCGCCGCTGCCGTCGTCATCATCATCCACGTAATCATTATAAACACCATATGTTTCTGCCTCTTGAGGAGGTGCTTCAATCTCTTTCTTGCTACTACTACTGTAGGAAGAATCCATAAGACAAGTCGTATGATACGCATGACAGCAAAAGAAAACAATAACAGATACATTCTGTATGGAAAAGGGGTCAAAACATATACAACATCTTCCCCCTCCCCTAGTCTTTGACTTAGCTTCCATGGTTCTCACAGTTGAGGACTTCTCAACCGCCTGGGAAGCATAAGCATCATTCCTTTTCGGTCGTGGCTCATCTCCTTCATTACTTAGATAAACTCCATGCCTTGCCTCATTGTAGTATTTAATCAAAAGATTAACAATGTCCGCCTGTTTCAATGACAACAAGTCAGCAAGATATTTTCGTTATAGCTGTAACCAGCTATTGACATTCAAAATTTGTCCTTAAACCGCGAAAGGGTGTTTTTTTTGGGGGGGGGGGGGAAAGTACCTTCAGAATATCGTTGCACCCATGTCTGAGAGAAGTTTCGGTTCTGTAATCAGTAATGATTTTAACCAGCCGATCCCTGAGCCTGTAAGAAAAGCCGAGAAACAACAGTTAGCGAAGAACATATGGATCCACAATATAGCTAGCATCAGAAGCCAACACGAGCTGATCACCCAACTGGAATTAAAACATGGTGATTGACATGCAGATCTAAGACTAGAACGAGAGACACGGCATCTGCTTACTCAATTTCTAGCCCAGATAATCAGTTTTTCTTCCTTGAATATGTTTATATGTAATGGATGATATCAAATCCTGTCAGGTCATATTCGTTACTCACCGAGGTATTTCCATTCCATTAGGGACCTTATTCACAATGTAGAGGGGATCAAGATTTCCAACAGTGTGCTCCAATAGTATGCCCACCTGTCAGTACCAAGTCAAGCTTAGAATAAGAGAACATGAGCAGGTGTATAAAGCAAGGCGAGTTTACATATCTTCTGTCCCCAATTTAGTTGTCAGCACATACCATTTCAGGTTTGTGAAGACATTGCTTGATTAGCTCTTCCCAGAGTTCATCATCATGCTGCATAGTAACGAACTCTACAGCCTGTGCAAAATTGTAAAGCTTCACTTGTTATAATTCACCCAAAAAAAAAAAAATCTTTGAACTTATTCAGGATTTGAATGTTGGTCAAACCCAATAACGTCTTTAAATTAGCAAAAAAGGACATACCTCCTCTATATCCCCTAAATCATTAATAATGACAGCCAGGGCTTGCTTTGAATTTCCCATCCTTCCTAGGATGAATACTTGCTCCCTCAACAAATTTCTTTTGACACAAATTTCGTAGGCCTGAAATACAGTATGATGACTTTGATTCACAAGAAAAAAGCACATAAATTTCAAAATTAATAACTGATTGATCTCACACCTTCTCAAGGGTATAGTGTTGACTGCTACGAAGAAATGGAAGTAGCATCTTGGGATCACAGTCTGCATAAAGTTCTACCTATAAACGTAACAAAAATTTGATATTAGTGCCATAAAATGCATGCACAAACTTCAAATAACTGTTTTACTTGCAGAAGACAGTTGCAGTACAACAGAAACGAGTTTAAGGCAAATTGAGAAGAATAAAGCACTAAGTTCACTAATATATCCAAGAATGAAGCAGTTGGACCAGATCAAAGTAAAGCCAGGCCATAACCAGAGATTGCTTCTTGTTTGCAAACGTAAATAGTAGGAATAGCCAAAGGTCACTAAACAGAAGTGTTTTCATGCAATGAAAGGAACATGGCAAAAGAAACTCTTAGAGAGTGTTCAGCACATGGAAAGAGAGAGAGCCTTCCATTTCCAGCGGGAAAAAAAGAATATGTAATATATATTATGCCCCTGCTATAGTCATTCCATAGTCTATCTTTTTCTAATATTATTTGTTTATTCAGGAGCGTGCATTTGTAAATTACAAAATCACCTCCTCTTTCTATTTTCTTTCCCATCATATTCCATCTTGCCTACAAAACAACCCCTTCTCATTAAGGTCACAT